TTTATTTTATTTTAAATAAATTTTTTTTTTTTTTTTTTTTTTTTTTTAAGTCTCTTATGCTCATCAAAGCCACATTTATTTATTTATTCAAAAATATAAAAACAGTAACATTGTGAAATATTATTACAATTTAATAGAACGTGGGCCATTTTAAAATGTAACTTCTTTCTGCGATGGTAAAGCTGAATTTTCAGCAGCCATTACTCCAGTTTTCTGTCACATTATACTTCTGAAAGTCTAATATGCTGATTTGGTGTTCAAGAAACATTTCTTATTATCAATGTTGAAATCATTTGTAACACTGTAAAAGTCTTTACTGAGAAAGTAGTCTACCTTGCTGGACTTTTTGCTGGTGGCAGATCCAGGCCTTGTGTTGCTGTTGAGCTGAGATGAACTTGAGCTGACCAAATCATCTTCATCATCATCTTCATCAAAGTTCATGCTACTGGAGATTCCTTTGAACAAGAAAAATATTGAGGTGCTAATCAAATAGTGTGTCGATAGCAGAACATGAGGAGAGAACAGCAGCAGGCATAAAGCAAACATAGAGGCATTATGCAGTGCAAATAACACTGCAAATAACTGCGCTCTGATGCCAAAAGAGCATACGGCATGAAATTTAGCATACACAACAAACTGAGTACATTTAGATTAAATTTTTTTTTGAAACTTTTAATCAACAAATTAGCAGAAAAAGGGGATGCACAGGACAAAATGATTGTCCACAGTCCAGATCGGCTCTAACCAGCTCTAATAAGTCATGCAGACAGTAAAGACATGATCTAATCCAAATATGTCACAGAAGGAGGAGAGAGAGGCAGACACTGAATCTAAATGCTATAGCATGTAAGTAGATCTCAAAGTGTTAGTGACCAGATGATGATACTGTACATGACGTTGTTTTGCATGTTAGGCAATCAGTAATACTGAAGAACAATCTGCAAATCTGCATGGCTTAATCGGCAAGATTATAGGGGTCTCTCCATCTGTCTCTCTCTCCGCTCTTGTTTGCGTTACTCTGAGGACTATCGCTGGTGTACCTTTCTTCAGCATCGTGACCCGTAGGTCCTGTTTGCCCTGTGACTGTGTGTTGCCAACTGCCTCACCCTGGCCCTCTGCCTCGCTCTCCTGGGCAGGTGAGTGGCCCACTGTCAGGATCTGAATCTGGTTGCCCAGCTCCTGACCCTCATCCTGGAAGGCAGCGGGCCCATCAATTCCTGTGGTACCACCACAACACAGTAACACTGTTAACTCCACTTCGTTAACCATCCTGCATCCACGTGGGTGTCACAGAATAATGGCGTTTCATGGAAATATGGAGACAGACATTCAAATCTTAATGAGTGAATGAATTCCTCTGCAGTATTAGACTTGATGGTCCTCTGTGAGACAAACACTACCGGTCAAATGTCTGGAATTATTTAGATTCTTTAAATGTTTTCTAAAGCTTCTTATGCTCACCAAGGCTGCATTTATTTGTTTAAAAAAATACAACAGAAACAGTATTATTGTGAAAATATTTTACAATGTAATTTATTCCTGTGACAGCAAGTCACTTTACTTTAGTCTTCAGTGTCACAGGATCTTATTATCATCAATGTTGAAAACAGTTTTTGCGGCTTAATATTTTCAGGATTCTTTGATTAATATAAAGTTTAAAAGAAGAGTATATAATAAAAATAGAAATGTTTTGCACCATTATAAATGTCTTTACTGTTACTTTTCACCCATTTAATGAATTCCTGCTGGATTAAAGGGGTCATATGATGCTGCTAAAAAGAACATTATTTTGTGTATTTGGTGTAATGAAATGTGTTTATGCGGTTTAAGGTTAAAAAAACACATTATTTTCCACATACTGTACATTATTGTTTCTCCTCTATGCCCCGCCTTTCTGAAACTCGTCGATTTTTACAAAGCTCATCGGTCTGAAAAGCAAGGTGTGCTGTGATTGGCCAGCTATCCAGTGCGTTATGATTGGCTGAATACCTCAACCATGTGACGGAAATGTTACGCCCCTACCATATTGTGATGATGCCCTGTCTGGCCGGAGCGATGATTCAAAAACATGAAAACCCATTATAAACGAGGCATTCGTTGCATCCAGTGGGGACATAATTATGGATTATAGTGACTTATACTGTCTTTTTACGTGTTGCGTTGCATCGCGCCGCGTAAACATAAAACCATGTCTGCATTTGTGATCGGAGAAATGACAAACAATAAGCCCTTCTCTATACTGCCCAAAAAACTCGCTTTAAATATAAAAAATATAAAATATAAAAACCCTTTAAATATAAAAAACGTACTTACAGTCTGTGAGTCATAACAGCCTACTCTACCAGGATCAATAATCAGTCCTCCATAAAATGTGCTGCACACATCTGAATATTTGGGTTTATGTTAGGCATGACGAAGCGGATATCGTCCTCTTTTGGAAGACCAAACAAAGTAGTTTCGCTTTCACAACGAAACACAGCGTCACACATGGCGGCCTAGAGTGAGCAGAGGCCGGGGGATAAAGTGAGGAACGGCCTGAGGCCTAGAGTGAGCAGAGGCGGCGGACTTGAGAACGGCGCGGCTGGCGGATTTGACGAAGGAGTGTCCAGAGGGCTTGCGGCAACCACATGTGACGACCCCGGGCTGGACTCCGCTTCGTCCACGGTGAATGCTGATCCGGCGATCCACAGCGCAAAGTTGTTGTATTTCCTTAGCAACCAGCACGGATCAGCTCCAGGCATGACGAAGCAGATATCGTCCTCTTTTGGAAGGCCAAACAAAGTAGTTTCGCTTTCACAAAGAAACACACAGCGCCTTCACGACATGGCGGCGACAACAACAATACTACAGTGAGAATAAAAGTTACGCCTTCTTTCTTTGCGTGAACATTTGGGTGGCGTTATGCAAATCTTCCCACATCGTGACGTAGGTATGTGGGGGCGTGTTAGAACGAGCCGTTTTTGGTAGGTGTGGCAGGCTCTTAACTTTTATAAAGAATATCTCTTTGGATTTGAGACTTTAGTCTTTGCAACTTTACAGATCTTCTTTATGCACCAAGAGCTTGTAACACTCCAAAGAGAAAGGAAAAATTGAAATCACATCATATGACCCCTTTAATGTATTGATTTATTTCCTTCTTTTTTGCTGAAGGATCATGTGACACTTAAGACTTGAGAAATGGCTGCTGAAAATTCAGCTTTGCCATCACAGGAATAAATACATTTTAAAACATATTCAAATAGACATTTTTATTATTTCTATTTAACTATTTTTTTTATTGTAATAATATTTCACAATATTACTTTTACTGTATTTTGATCAATTAAATGCAGCCTTGGTAAGCATAAGACACTTATTTTAATAACATTTAAAAATCTTAATCATTTCAAACTTGGCTGGTAGTGTATGCAATATATAACCTTCTCAATGAACTTTGCATGTGCTGTTGCTTTTAAGCGCCCTTGGGGTTTCAAGAATTAGCTGTCGTCTATTTACAGATGCTCTTATGTCAGCCTGGGTTTTGTATTTCATCCAATTAGTCACTATCAGTGAAAGAACACGTTGTCCCAGACAAGCACAGCTACATGCAACTGTCCAGATTATAGCTACCCTCCATCCATGCATCCAACCAGGCCAAATCAAGTCATTATAGCTATCGAGACCCTTTGTCCCCCTCCAGGGACTCATCTGGTGAACATTGTCAGAGAATTAGCTCTGACTAGATGGCCAAGAGGCATTAGTGCTCATGACTGCACAAAAATCAGTATTGCATTTAGACTATGATTGTCACTGAAGTTAAAGTGACCTGTGATGGGGCTCCTTAAAAATGTAAGTAATCATCAGAGAAAAAGCCAGAGAGACAGAGAATATTGATCGATCATGAATAGTCTCCATAAAATGAACAAAACGTTTGCATCAGCTTATCCTTTCAAAGCTTTGGGTCCAGATATAGCATGTATGATTTGAAATCATCATTTGTGAGTCACAGATCTGTTTTTGTTGATTATGTCATGTATAAAGCACCATAACCTGAGTTGAGGGCCACTACACGAGTGTGGGGGAGATAATGATGGTTCAGTTGTCGCCGTCTCAGAAGATGACTAGCAGCACCGTAATAAAAGAGCAACAAGTGAAGAAATAGCTGTGTTCAGACATGCAGCAAAAAAATCTGGTTTTCTTTTTTTAGGCATATCTGACTGACTTATTGTCTTTTTTTCTTCCAAACCACATCCATACCTGTTTCCAGACCAGATGTTGTGGTTGTCAAATTTAATTTGTAAAACAAAAGAAAGCAGCCATCAAACTTAGCTTGATAAAGTCAAAACTACACTGAAAACGTGCATATGTCTTGTAATTACTCATTTTATTAGAATATTTTATACTTGATCCAACTTAAATAATTTACCTTTCTGTCTTGTCATTGAGCTTAAGTAAATTGTTTAGTTAACTGAAAGTAAAAGTATGTTTTGTTGGTGTAATTGAAAATATTTGTTTCACATCAAATCAAGAATTTTGCGTTCTGTGAAAACCATGTGACCACTGATGTCATCGAGGTTCGGTTTGAGAAATTTCTGATCCATTGCCATCTTGTTTTCCCACATCAAGACTGCAGCTGACACACAATTCCATAATATCGGTGAGTAATTATACAAATAACTTTGAGTTTATTGTTACTACAGTTGATATATAAGTGTATATGATGACTTTGACTAAGTTTTTTGACTAACTGCTTAATGGGAGTGTTTTGTCACATGTACATGTGGCGGCATGTACATACATCTTTCTTTGTGTGGATTGCGTAAAGTTATTGACAAAAAATATGCATGCTTAGAGGACGTGCTTAGGTTCACTTCTCACGTAACACAGTGCTGCAGGAATGAGTCCTAAAACCTGAAAATAAAATTTTTACACTACCAGTTCCATCATCCTGAAGTCAATACATTTTTTTGAGTGGGTGTTTAGTTAAATGCCTGAAATAAGGTCTGTGGTTAAAACAAGCTCAAGATATTTGCCCATTTTATTCAAGATAACACTTGTGATTATATTTGTATATTACTTGTCTTGAAAAAGGTGGTTAATAAACAAGTGGCTAAATGGTTGGTACTAGAGGTCGGTGCAAAAAGGTCTGGCTGCAGACTTGCGCTTGCACTCTCAGACTTGCATTCTCAGACTTGCATTCTCAGACTTGCACTCTCAGACACTTGCACGTCCGCTAGCGACGTCACTTGCAGTCTTTATTTTTTTATTTTGTTCTATTTATTTATTCTTTTTGTTTGAATCTCTCAACATTTTACAACAGTAGCCAGGTGGTGAAGACAAGACAAAATAAACTAAATTACAAAGTCACTTGCAATCGCCACTTGCACTCTCCGATACCTGCGACGTCACTTGCAATCGAGCACATCGTGCGTGTTGCCAATGGAGACAAGACAATGGTGGTGATTAAACGATTAAAACTAATTTTGTACCGTAACGTACAGGGTCCTGCAAGCCATCTGTAGGAGAAAAAGACAAGACCCGCAAATCCGTGGCCACGGAACAGCAGAATATGAACGCAATGCGCAAAGTCTCCCGTTAAGCGTTTTCCTCCTGTAGAAAAACATAAACACTTAACATGGCTTAATGTATTAAGATGCTATTAAAATATCAAATTCAATATACAGTTTATTAATATAATGAACATGTATATAGTGTTTTCCTCCCACACCGCAAAACGTGGCTAATGTGGCATAATGAACTAAGATGATAAAGACCAAACTCAATGCTCTTCATTATTAAAATTGTAAGGGAAACAGGTCAATAATTTAGCTCAAAGGGAATCATTTAAGATTTTAAAGGGAACTCCACCATTAATATGCAAGGGAATTAGGACAGAATCACTGTTTTACGGCTGATCACTGAGACGGCCAGCGAGTCAGTGAACGAGCCGTATGACATCAATTCTGCAATGGATATCTATATCCAAAATATAGTGAAAACACTATTAATTAGCATAGTAACAAGATCGGCAGTTTAAGACATTAACTTGTGAGCACAAAACACAAGATACTTCTCTTTTCCATATAAATAAGGCTTTATTGGATAAATCTAAGACATATAAACTAATCTAACACATGAACACACGCATTCACACAAGTTTTCAGAAAGAGAGAGAGAGAAAATAATTAAAGAGAATGAAAATGTGAAATCCCAAGTTTACAGCAATATGTGCCATTGTATAGATCTGAACAACCATCAATCACTTAATTAACCCTCGCACTGAGTTCCTCAATGAGGTTAAAATTTAGATTAACTGCACCAGTTCAGTTTAGAATCTGGAGGTACTTGCTTTCTGTGTTGCGGGATTCCCTTTCTTGTCTGGTTGCTGAAAGGGGTTTCCCGAGGTTGCTGATTGGCTGGAGGTTCAGTCTTGGGAAGCCAGTGGTTGGGCGTTGGCTGGCGACGCGGAGCTGTGGTCTGCAGTTGAAGGGTAGACAGCACTCTTCGGAGATGCGGCGTTAGGCTTAACTCAGAACACGAAACTCTCAACGGAAAATAAAACAAACTAAAGAAATAGAAATAGATGTAAAGTTTGATGAGACCAGGTGGCGTTTCCTCTCATGGTTTTGGAGGAGCTGGTGTGTAAGTAGAATAAACTGTCTACAGCTCTTTTATATCATTGTCTTTGTCCATTAAGCTACATTACGTGTTTTATTTATAATGATTTTCTATGGGAGGAACATTTTTAACGTGCAATTTAATGCATTGCATTCTGGGCTCGTCTGGTTGCCTGTACGGAGTTGATCCTTTTTAAAATCACTTAATGCATTTCATAATGCACGTTCATATTTGCTGTTCTGTATATACTTTGAGTCAACAACAATACATATAGGCTACTGAATTGTCTTTATCATCCGTTATTATGCCACATTAAGTGTTTTGCTGTATGGGAGGACAAGTGAAAGTTTGTGCATTGCATTCATATTCTGCTGTTCTGTAGCCACGGATTTGCGGGTCTTGTCTTCTGTACGTTACAGTATAAAATTAGTTTTAATCGTTTAATCACCACCACAGCTTCTTGTCTCCATTGGCAACATGCAGGATTTGTGTCGATTGCAAGTGACGTCGCAGGTATCGGAGAGTGCAAGTGGCGATTGCAAGTGACATTGTAAGTTAGTTTCTTTTTTCTTGTCTTCACCACCTGGCTACTGTTGTAAAATGTTGAGAGATTCAAACAAAAAGTAATCAATAAATAGAACAAAATTAAAAATTAAAAAGACTGCAAGTGACGTCGCTTGCGGAAGCGCAAGTGTCTGAGAGTGCAAGTCTGAGAGTGCAAGCGCAAGGCTGCAGCCAGACCCTTCTCGGTTGGTGGGGATATTAAATGGATAGTTCACCCAAAATGAAAATGCTGTCATTAATTACACACCCTCATGTCGTTCCAAACCTATAAGACCTTTGTTCATCTTCGGAACACAAAATAAGATTTTTTTTGTTGAAATCTGAGAGCTTTCTGACCCTGCATAGACAGCAATGGAGCTACCACGTTCAAGGCCCAGAAACGTAGTACCCACATCATTAAAATAGTCCATGTGACATCAGTGGTTTTAATTTTATGAAGCTATGAGAATACATTGTGTATGAAGAAAACAAAAATAGCAACTTTATTCAACAATTTCTTCTCTTCCGTGTCAGAATTTGACGCGTGGTTGAGTAATTAATTACAAAATTTTCATTTTTGGGTGAACTATACCTTTAAATGTGATCACCCCGAACAGGAAAATTCATCTACTTACTATTTCACTTTTACAGCCTCATTGTGTTTACATTCAAGGTCTTGCAAGCCATTCTAAATACATACTGAACTATAGAATCAAAGCTCATAAATCATATTTTTTCCCAAGATTATACCATTTATCATTTGTGAAGATTATCTTGATGAACAAAATGTATAAGAATTATAAACTTTTGTTGGTCACACAGCTTATTTTAGGCAATAATCTAAATGGAAATGGAAAATCCTGTTGGCTTTTTGTCAATGGCTAATTCTAGGTTTCTGGGTCGGTCTAATACATCATCCCTGCAGCACTGTATTAAACTCAACTTTACTCTTTTATTATTTTGTAAGCTAGTTTATATCCATGTCAGCTACTTCACTAAAAGTCATACCTTCAGCAAACGAAAAGCAAGAAATAAAAGTTTTCGCCCCCAAGAAATCCAAATGCTCCCTTGTGTGAGTCATTGAGCTAAATATAGTATTTCTCTATAGTACTGGTGCTGACGTTGAGCTAAAAGCATCACCACTGCCACTGTTTGATGAATGGAGCCCATACGTCTATTTGTCTATTTCATGAATGTTTGTGTCTTGTATCGATGAAGGCTGCAGTAGGTCATCTCAGCACTGCTCTTGGCAGGCAGACAGCAGCTGCTCCTAAGCAGTATTAGAGGGGATTTCGTTATTCCTTGAGAAAAGATTGGCAGTAGAATGGCGGTTTGGTTCCTCTCCAGGGGCACGTTCATTAACACCCTGTGCCACACTGTCATTGACAGAGAAAGCGGTGAAAATCCTCAACACTCTCACAGGGAGATGGATTTAGATGAGGGGAAATGAAATACAAAAACACAGTACGGAGAACATGAAGACATGAGAAGATTGTATATACAGTAGCTGTGGTAGTTTAAGCAAGCACACCACATGAGAGATGGCAAATTACAGTAGCTGCTGTTTGACTTAAATTATATGCTTTTTATTGGTTTACTTTTTTCCACTTAGAAAGCAAATTAACTTTATGTTTTAAACCTGTAGGACTCTCTTTCTTCTGCTGAACACAAAAGAAAGAAAGAGAGAAAGAAAAAGAAAGAGAGAAAGAAAAAGAAAAAGAAAGAAAGAAAGAAAGAAAGAGAAAATAATCTTAATACTTTAAACAGGATTCTTTGATTTTTCAGGATTCTTTGATGAACAGAAAGTTCAAAAGAACAGCATTTATTTGATATATATATATATATACAGTCTCTATATATATATATATATGCATTTGTTTAATAAGAACAGCATTTATTTGATATATATATATATATACAGTCTCTATATATATATATATATGTGTGTGTGTGTGTGTGTGTGTGTGTAACATGGTAGTCTTTACTGTCACTTTTGATCAAATTAATGTGTCCTTGCCAAATAAAAATAAATATTTAAACAAATAAATAAATAAATCTTACTGATCTTGAACTTTTGAACAGTAGCGTACATTCATAAAGGAACAAACAAATCTTTTTGCATGCTGTTGTGACGCATGTGAACATCCTAAATCTATTCTTCTGTACAGCGCAGGTAATGCTGATCATGACACAAACGGAATCACTGGATGATACAAATGTCCTTTACACACACAGATACACTCATACACAGATTTTCGTGCACATGCTGGGCCTGATGGTTAACAGGCTGCTCAGCTGACCTTTGTGCTTGCCCTTTTTCTCCTTCTTGGCGCTGCCAGTCTGAGGAGTGGAGGTAGGCGGCTTGGTTTTTTTAGCTGAGCGAGGGACCTGAACCTCTGCTACAGCTTTAACTTCTTCCTGTTCCGCTTCTTGTACTAAACAAGGAAGTGCAGAATGAGCCAGCAGGAGCAGAGAAGATACAGGAGCAGAGAAGAATACAAAAACAAAAAAACAAGAGGAAAATAAAGAAAAGGGTTAAAGTGAATGAGGAGAAGAAAAAGAGTTAGCAAAGACACAAAGCAGAAACAAAGCTTACGTTTTTAGCATACACACAGAAGACGGCTACAAGCACAAAAAACGAAATATCCCACTGCTCCTATACACCCCTGGATGCAATTTTAAATGAAGGGGATTCGGTGGTTGTCAGAACTGTGAAATCAAAAAAATTCATTCCTTCTCACAGCCTACTTCTTTTAACTGTCCTTCAAGGCCGTGAACTGCTGGGATTTCTTAAACAACAGATCTGGGAGGATTCATCTGAGTCTATGCACTCATGAAAACGTCACTGTCGGTTTGATATTTGTCGATAGCTACAGTACATCACTAACACTGAAAGGCATAAAGAGACGAGCCTGTCAGAACGAGAGAAAAGTGATCAATGGTTTAGTTATGGAAAGAAACCACAGAGACATTGACTTGCTATTTTTGAAAAGAGAGAGTGACGCAGAGTTAAGCAATGGAGTTACTTTTTGTTACTCATGCTTTGAGAGACTGAAGACGTCAATTCACAGGTGAGTACGTTCGGGGTTCAGAGACGCTCTCTCTGTTTAAATCTAGATTAAAGACACATCTCTTTGGCCAAGCATTTAAATAATGCATCTCATAATCTTGTACTGCAGTTATATCTGATCAAATGCACATTATTATTCTTTAGTTTGGGTTAAACAAATAAATTTTGCTTGGTTGGAACAGCAGCTACGCTAATTATGTCTCTATTTGTTTCTCTGTTTTTGCCACGGGATGTAACTAGGATTTACACAAGCTTCAGTCTGGATCCAGAACACCTGAGAAGAGATGATGCCAACCCCTCAGAGGACCTCAGATGATGCAAACCCTCAAACAACTTACAGAACTACCACATTTTGCTATACGTTTGATTGTATCATATAATAATTGCTGTTAATAGTGTTCATCGTCTGTTTGATTACGTCTTTAATTGATTTTTCCATACATTTCTGCCATATGTACATTAACTGACAGTCACCACTGATAAGCTACCACTAAATATTGTAGAAACTTAATTTGCTGTAAAGTTGTTTTGCAACGATTTGTATCCTGAAAAGCGCTATACAAATAAACCTGAATTGAATTGAATTGAATTGAATTGAGTAAAGGCTGCTCTGTTTAGGCTCTGTGACTCAAATTCTGAGTTAAGACGCAATTCTACAATGAAAATGTCTCAGGTTACATATGTAATCATGGTTCCCTGAGAAGGGAACAAGACACTGCATCCTCTAGGGGTCGCTATGGGGAATGCCTTCAGCGTGACCGGTGTCTGAAGCATACATCTAAAAACGACAATAACAGCCTATGATGTCATTACCCTGTGCGATCACAGTATAAAAAGGTGCCGGGATAACACGTCATCCGCTTCTTCATCTGAAGCTTGCGTCCGCAGCATGGCAAGGAAACTAGTGGACGCAGTGTCTCGTTCACCTCTCAGGGAACCATGGTTACATGTGTAACCTGAGATGTTCCCTTTCGAGGGAACTTCGAACTGCGTCCTCTAGGGGTCGCTATGGGGAACGGTATACCCACGCCACCATGATGAGGGGAGTGCATGCCAGAAATCACGGCGAGCACTAAGTACCAACTCTACCATAGCCATGGGAGTTGCCCCAAAGGATGTCTTGACGGCTGTCAGTGACATTATCCCTTTCGGCCAAGGGCCTGAGCTGCGTACCCTAAAAGAACTTACCTGTTAAGGGCTGGGCTAGGAAGCCCAAGCCTAGGGCAGAGCTCAAGGCTTGGAATCAGAAGAAAGAGATTCCTTTAAGGGGATACGGCCAGGTGTTTAAAAACCAAACCAGACCCTGGCCTGCCACCCAGGGGGGCTACCACCGGTTCTGAATAAACCTGCTCAATGAACTGACTCAACAGATCTTAGGAAGCAACACCCTGCTCAGAAATGTATCAACAGAGATACATTAGTTGAGTGGAGCCCAAGGCGAGAACCGGGGCCTAAGCCAACTCAGAGAAAAGGAACAAGGCTGACAGCGCATAACCCTTACCATACAGGATTTTATAAAGTGCGCAGAAGCTCAGCGTGTGCACTTACCATAGCATGGATTTAGAAAGATTCCGAAGCATCTGCTCACAGATGCCCAGAAGTCCTCAGAACTCAATCTGGAGCGTCAGGCTCAAAGACAACCCTCTGAGGTGAGGGGAGCACTGCCTGGCTTGACCCGAATAGAGGCAGCTTATCTGGGAAGCAGCAAGCGACCCAACTACCTGATGTCACTGCCACGGAGCTCAAGAGCAGAGGGTTCAACCCCTAACGCTTGACCGAAGTGACCAATAGCCCAGGGTAGAGGACCTAACTCTCGAGTTGAGAGGAGGACTCACCCAGTCTGCCCAGGACCGGCGAGCTCAAAGGGACCCTCCCGCAGTGAGGGGAGCACAGCCCGGGGCAGATAGATTGCAAATGGGACATCAGAAATAGGATCCTGCTAGAAGGGGATCACACATTTCTAAGGGAACAACAGGGTCTCAACATAAAGGCATCCGACCAAGGAGGTGACAGAGGCAGGCCTAACACTTAGTTCGTTGTAAATGGGGTCCTTCGGGAGCAGCGCTCTCGGCTCTCAAGATGAGGCGGGCCCTTACAGCACATACTGGGTGCGACTCATAGCTAACCCTCACAGAGAGGGGAGCGCTTCTCAGCTCGACCAGAAGGGGGCACTAGATTAGAAGGGGTAACCCAGCAGGGCCCAATAAGAGACAGTCCCCTGGTGCAGCTGGGCCACGGTCTCATGCTCTCCATCTCGATAGAGAGTGTGGGTCCCGTATAACCAGACCCAATAGAATCTGAAGAAATAGCGGGACCCAATAACCATTCATGCATATAGAGCTTACTGCTCCTCAGAGCAGAAGCACAAAACAGGGGTTTCCACAGAAACACAAATCCCTCTTACCTCAGGGAATGAAGTGTATTCCAGCCCACTCCGCAGAGGGGTGATTACTGGTTCAACCATAAGGGCAGTGTGACAGTGAGTACCCACGGGCCCGACCGTCTATGGAGCGTTGAGCTCCTCAATGCCTCAGCGAGAGGAGCTCTAGCTCAGAGAACGTGCATGAAGGTTAAGGAACGATTCTAATCTCGGGAGACTCCTCAGGGTGAGAAATGTGTAGTTCGCACCTGGCCAGAGGATAGGGAGGTGTGGGTCCCGTATAACCAGACCCAATAGAATCTGAAGAAATAGCGGGACCCAATAACCATTCATGCATATAGAGCTTACTGCTCCTCAGAGCAGAAGCACAAAACAGGGGTTTCCACAGAAACACAAATCCCTCTTACCTCAGGGAATGAAGTGTATTCCAGCCCACTCCGCAGAGGGGTGATTACTGGTTCAACCATAAGGGCAGTGTGACAGTGAGTACCCACGGGCCCGACCGTCTATGGAGCGTTGAGCTCCTCAATGCCTCAGCGAGAGGAGCTCTAGCTCAGAGAACGTGCATGAAGGTTAAGGAACGATTCTAATCTCGGGAGACTCCTCAGGGTGAGAAATGTGTAGTTCGCACCTGGCCAGAGGATAGGGAGCATGTCGCGAAGCATGTACTCAGAAGAGTACTAGCCCATGAGAAGCACCCGCAGGTCCTGAGGTTGCAGCATTATACTGGGGACCTAATGCTGGGAGGTTTCCTCAGAAGCCCAGGCTGCGTGTCCAAGCCGAAGATGAGAGCGAAACCATCACTGTAATCGGTCAACAGCAGGAGGTCCTGACTTAGCAGGTGGGTCAAACCAACCATGGCTCCCGAGCATGACTCAGGCTCATTTTATACTGTGATCGAGCAGGGTAATGACGTCATAGGCTGTCGCCGGCCAATGTTATTGTCATTTTTAGATTTATGCTTCAGACACCAGTCACGCTGAAGGCGTTCCCCATAGTGACTCCTAGAGGACGCAGTTCGAAGTTCCCTCGAAAGGGAACCCTCAAACATTGAAGTTGTCATTTCAACTATAGGGCCTAATTATTATCAAAGCTTAACAAGTGAGACAGAATTTACAATTATGACATTTTAATCAATTTAATTATAATTTCAGGGTTTTTTATAATTTCATCTCATTCAATTATAATTTTTATGCAATTCTTTTTTTTGTGTAAATGCATTTAGTGCATTTATGTGCCTTTGTGCAGCTAAATATTATGTGCAAATGCACCTAGAGTTACAGTATATATGCCACTTCATATCATCCAATAGGGCTGACAAATACAAATGTACATAGAAGGAAATAACATGCACGGCATAATCAACTACAGTTACAATTCACTGCAGCTCATGCTGGATGAGCGCCAAAGGTGCTCTCGTTGATGAGACGGCACAACACTGAGGGAAACAGGGTAAATAATTCATAATACTGTATACTGCTAGTATCAACAGACATTCCTCTCTTTCATAACACGACACAAGCCTGTGAGGAAAATAACAGTCCCACAGCACAGGTGTCAAATCATCAGCATTAACTGAATGATGATTTATGAGAATGTTCTGGTTTCAGTACCAGTTAAACTCTATTGACAGAATGTGTGGCATTTTGAAAACTGAAAAAATGTAAGATGTCCCTCAGTTTGTAAAAGACTAAGGAAAAACTCCTACTGATTCTTCACTAGATGTAGGATCAGGAATGTGACTAAACTTCTGACACAATCAGAACTTCGTCAAAGGCATCGGTAAGCAATGTCATAATAAGCATTACAGCACAGCTGTGCTGTTACTGTTAACTACAACAAACTATTAAAAATGGTTTTCAGTAACTAAAATAAAGCTGAAATAGCCTTGACAACTAACTGAAATAAAGCAAAAGTTTAAGTTGTAATCCATAAAGTATTAAAATTACTAAAACTGAAATAATTCAAGCTAAACAAAAATATAAAAAAATTCATAAAAATGACAAAACATCAACTAAAACTGATCATATAAAATATTAGAATTAAAAGCTAATTCAAAATATTAATAAACTCTGCAATAGTATTATATAAACATACTAAAATAAGACTGGTGCAAAGGGCTTTAAACTAATAAGCTACATAACTATAATGTAGATCTATATCACACATATAAAAAATGTGATTGCCTGTGTTATTATGCTAATTCGTTGTGTACAACGCAGCACGAACAGCTAAAAATAATGTTAGCTCACAAAGATAAGGCTTCTCATAGTTCAGAGGAAAGACCCCTGACACTAGCAAATGTTTTAATATAGATGATTGAAGTCTGCATTGACATTGTAGGAAGGGTTTATCTAACACTGAGCAGTCTGGGACAGAGATCAATAGAGTAACTCAAGCCAGTACCGCTGGCAGTGCAAAGAATGGCAGCATTGTTTGCCGAACAATCAGCAAACAAGCATTTCCATTTTCAATCACCGGCCTTTGTGAGCCTCTCTGTTTGAGCAGCTTGGGTCGATATTGGCATGTCAGCATAATGACAGCTTGGAATAATGTCTCATGCCCTCGAGAGTGAACGTGACCCTTGAGTCTCTGTGGAATTATGGTTATTTGAAATATTAGGAGAGAGTTTTTTTTGCTATGTGGCTTTGAACTGTATTTTGTACCGTGGTAGATGATGCTGCTGTTGCCGCTGAGGTAGCTCTCCACAAGGGGAGCCTGTTCCTCCGACTGCCGGGTCCTGCGCACTCGAGACCGCCCGTCCAGATTAGACTGCACCATCAGGGGCTCCTGACGTTTCTTTTTCTGCTTCTGTTCCAATAAAGCTCGCTACAAACACACATTAACAGGCACATGTATGTGATCTTTAGTGTGCAGTCAGTGTACATTACAGCACAGTATTTCAAAGCAGATTTGAGATTTACAGTACTTGTATGATGGTACTCTATGAAATATATAATTAAACAACAATAATGTTCGATAACTGCAACAGAATTACAAATTTATCACATGCATAGATACAGTATGAAGTATGAAGGGAATATCAATCAATGACTACACATAACGTCATCTGTTTTTTCTTTATGCATACATATGTCTGACATGAAAGAAATCCTAAAATAAAATGTGGGAACAAATAACTGGCACAAAATATATTTATTTCTGAGAGAACTGCCTCTAGTAGTTATGTGATTTTAAATCACATCTTGCCAAAAAAAAGCATCTCCAAGGCATAACAAAAAGCTGCCAAAATTAATGCAGTATCACAGCAAGTATTTTTATTATTGAATGTTCTTCATTGTACATGGCACTGCTTCTGTATTTCTGTGCATCTGCCACAGCTTATTTTAATCTTCTGAAGAGTTTATTTGCAAAAAAAACATAGCTAGAGATGAAGACAAGATGCACTGCATGTTTTAACCTCTGGGATGCATTTTTCCTTTGTAATGTTTCTATATAAATAATGTAAATCTTTCAATATCAAAAACTTAACCACAGAAGGATACTGCTGTGCATGGATGTGAAAAGCATCTGCAGCATGTTCTGAAAACTAGTGGTCGACTGATATTGGTTTTTTGACAGCCGATGCCGATATCTTGGAAAGCAGGGTGGCCGATATAAAGCCGATATAATTTTATTTAATATTTAAGAAAATTGAAATCATTTGAAAATGGACTAACAAATAAGTGTGTAAAATAAACATGCTTATACTTTAAATGACAAAGTATTTTTCACAAATAAACAAATATTTAATACAAATATAATTAAAAAGGAAGTAAACACTGTAACCAACAGGGCACTCAGTATTCTGGGAAGTTTGTGTGCATTGGGAATCCCATTTTTTCAAATAAAGCCAAGGTAACAGAAATTTTAAATACAGCACAGTGAAAATGACAAGAATATGACATTGGGCAAAAGCATGAAGCGCAGCATAATTTGAAATCACGAGTTTAAAGTTTGTCAATCACGTGTCTCCAATGAAGCTGAACTCTCCTCCTGTCCGCATTCAATTCGCATGGCCGACCGTCATGCAGAGTACACGTGATCATGCAGGATATAAATGCACACTTCATAAGATCTCACAGCTGGATTCGACTATGTTTGCAAGGTTTTTGTAATTAGATGTTCATTAGTCATTCAAAGATTTGTTTAAATTATATAAGTGCGTATTTGCGGAATGCTGAAGGCAAACGAGAAAGTATTATAATGTTT